TTACTGTTTAGATACATCTCATGTAAGGAAGTATTCAGGAAATTTAGATGCTACTTGAAGGGTTTCTCACTCATCCAATATATGGTAAAAGAAAGTTTTATGTAGAGTTAATATTTTGTGCTGAGAACTTTGTTTTTAATAGAAGAAATGACAAAAACTTTCAGGAGGAAATACGTCTGCAAATACCAGCATGGTTTCTCACTCATCCAATATATGGTTAAAGAAAGTTTTTATGCTGAGTTAATATTGTGTTGAGAACTTTGTTGTTTAATAGAAAAAATGACGAAAACTTTCGGGAGGAAAATTGAAGCTAATTACTGTTTAGGTACGTCATATGTAAGGTAGTATTCAAGAAATTTATTCTCGAAGGGTTTCTCACTCATCCAATATATGGTTAAAGAAAGTTTTTATACAGAGCTAATATTTTGTGTTGAGAACTTTGTTGTTTAATAGAAGAAATGATGAAAACTTTCAGGAGGAAATATCATCTGCAAATACCAGCATGTTGCAGCTAGTGTCATGCGCTCAAACATCATCCCTCCACATCCAAATATAAAATTTGGACACCTTTTGGATTATCCACCTTATGCAACCAACACAAATTTTATATTAAAGGTAAAGAATTTTCAGAGATTGTAGCTAAAAGGAGAAGGTGCTGTGAAGTATATGATTATTTAGAAGATTAATGACAAACCAATAAAGCAGTTTCAACCATCATAAATTTACAATGAAATAGAATGTTTTGATCTCATTTTCAAAATGTGGTAACAGCTTATGATCTCATAAAAAATTCAGAACTACAAGTAGTTTAAATAGATAACACAACCATCTTTTTAAAAAAAGAACCTTGTGGTTGTGTAAGACCCATGTCATGCAAGCTTATCGAATAAAAAAATTATATAGTGTTAGCATCAAGCTAAATTAATTGACCCACAAACCAATTTTAAGAAATATATTTGTGCATGCGCGCACACAGAGAAACATGATCTAATGTTTTCCCTTGTGATCCAAAAGGTAGCAGGAAACAGTGAAGCAGTATGATAAATTTATACAAGAGAACCAAAAAATGGATTTCTGCTGCCTATAAAAGACATAAAAGAATGAAATATTCTGCTTAGTATTCCCACATTTATTGTCTTCAAGGACTTTATTATGTAAAAATTTGTTCTTTAATATTTTAATAATCAAGTTGAATTTAGCTCAGCTTCTAATATTGCATTATTACTGTTACAATAGCATCATAAATCCATGATTAGTTGCAGCATCAGTCTAACAGGAGATAGAGGATGGAGCAATAGGCCAAGATATCAGAATAAGGTAAATATCTAAGAAGAATATGCAATCCATCTTAATATAGAAATGTGCAGAAACACAAAAGCATAACAGGAATTACCAAAGAATCCAGGGAGTCTTGACAAAAAGTAAGAGGCACCAACATCTGGGAAAAGACCCAATGCTGTTTCAGGCATAGCAAAAAGCTGCAAGAAGGTCAAAATGAGCACAGTTTGCAGAACGCAGAATGATTGAGTAACAAGTCACTCTGCTAAGATATATAAATAATTCTCAGAAGTTACTGCTATTTCACCATGTTATTGACTATAATCACATCAAGGTTCGTAATTTGACACCCGAATATAGCGTAAAGCCTAAAAAAGCCAACACAAGCCAAACTTCTGGCTCAATGCCCATTATGAATGACAGAAGGAAGCAGAAAGTGAAACATAATTACTTGATTCCACAAAATGATAGTCCAAATTTCATGACTACACAATTTCAGTGCGATTCTTTGTCAGACCAATCACAGTTTTACAACTTCCTGCTTCTGAGGACTAAATATGGGAGATTACAATCACCAGAAAAAATATAGATGCATTTATTTTGATTAAAAAAGCTGTAAGCACCCTTCTGAACTCACAAGAACATAAAGATTTGTGTAGAGACACAATAAACCCAGTTAGCATCATCCCTCCCTAAAAAATGGATGAATTGTTCTTTAAGGTACCAAGTTTTAACAAAATCCCAACAGTATTTCATCCCCAGAAACAAAAAACTATAAATATGGGACAGCTACTCTAAAACCTAAAACGAGTTATTGCAAAGCATAATCATTCGTGAAAACTAGTAGGAACAAGAAAAACTCTCATGTTTAAATCGTCACTTATCCCGTCTTACAAACAAAATACAACACTAACAATCTAACATTGCTTCATTCATGCCACAAGTTATTAGTCACCTTATCTCTATAACTAAATTCAAGGGAAATGCTTGAGAATTCAAATGTGTTCATCATATAATAAATAGTGGTGTCAAACTTTTAAATTAAAACCTTAGTATACAAATCCACAATAAGAAATTCATTCTGAAAATACAAATAACAATTTCAAGGAGTATGAACTGCGGAGACAGTTAAGACTCCATCTTGAAATAGGAAAAATAATTACCGAATTCTCTGTAGCAACACGGAATCTACCATGTATTGAAACACCTGCTCCTCCTCCCATGACAATTCCATTGAGAATTGAAACCTTCATACATATTTTCAAAGGAACAGTAAAGTTGCTAACAGAGTTGAACGGGAGATTAACTATGCTGCTCGTTTATTTCTCCAGAAAATTGAATACAAGTGGATCAGTTATACATGCATAAATAGACAAGAAAAATAGCAAAAGAAGTGCCGGCTGTCCTAACTAATTACCAGCCTGTGAAAAAGTAAACAAACTAACTAACAATATACACAAAAATGCTTTAAATGTTACAATTTAGAGGATAATATGCACTAATAGTTACTGAACGTGTTTAAATGACAACGGTGCAGTAAAACAATGCATTTAACAGGAAAAAACGACAAATTAGTTTACGATTTTCTACATTAGCACCTGAGGTTTACTGTATGTAGCCATCACATAGTTCAAGATGTACTCTCTTCTGAAAAAAATTGCTCCAGGTCTCCAATTACCTGATGGTCATAGAAAATAGTGGGCATCATCAGATATTCTGTGTGGACCTTATGTTGTTTCAAGTGCGTGACACATTTCTGATGGCTATATCAAAGCCTTTAAAAGGAATCATTAAGAACAAAAGCCAATTAATATTAAATTTAAGGGAAGAGGCAAAGTTCAGGGGACAAAATAAGTATTAGTCCATTTGCTAGTTGGATTCGGAATTGAGAACTTGGCTGTTTAAAATTTAGCAACGATAAAAGTGTTTGTGAGTATAGTTAAAATAAGCATTATTTAACATGTTAGTCCAAGATAGCTTGCTTACTTCACTAGAAAATGAATCACATGAGCAGATGTAGGCACATTGTTGCTTGATCATTTGCTCTCACTATACTCTTCCCTAGCATGTGAGGACTAGGAAGGATGCAACTCTAGTGTACCAGTTATTCAGTAGACATAGGAGAAATACCTTTGTTTAATTTTCATAAAGTAATCACGGGTTTAACCCCATTCCCAAGAGGCTATACACATTTTCTTTCCCATTATTGAAAATCTCAAATACCCACCCATTTCATGACATTGATATCCATATCTAACTTACATTTAACTTGCTGAATCTATTAGCTAATCACCAGCCTTCAAGTTCAATTAAACCAAAGGCCGAGATAATCAATTTTTAGTCAAGTGTCTAGTCTATACAGAATTTACAAATTCAAAACTAAATAACTCACTACAAAGCTATAGAAAGTCAACTAATTAGCCATGAAGCTTCATTCCAAATGCAACCTTAGATCCCGTTTGATAGGAATAGAGATCTGTTCACAATGTTCAGTATACAACAGAGTGAAAATGTTAGTCTACCTTGAGTAATACCACGAACAACGGCTGCAATATCACCTCCAGCACAGAAAGCTCTTCCTTTTCCCTGTCATCAGATGTTGCAAAACAAATACGTGACTGATGATCTTTAAAAAGCCGTACAGTATTTTGAAGATGTGGATACTAATATTGAATTTATGTATAATTTCTGAGAGAATAGCTTACTAAATACTCCATAGATTTAAATATCTTTACTCTATATGAGCTTCTTCTATACCAAATAAATGTCTTTTATTTACCCAGTTTTACAGGGGTGGGTTTCAAAAAATAATCAGCCAAGGTAGATACATCCTCGTCAGTTAACCAAGACAATGGAACTAAGAGCACAGCAAAGTATGAGATCGTAATCAGGGAGATATGGACCGCATGGGTCTTGGTGATTTTGCCATTAATTTAGAGATGGACCCAGAGTCAAGCCACTCGAGCACCGGGGCAACATGAGCATAGATATCAGCTTATGAGTTTTAAGCAAGAACAAGAGATAGAGTGGAAATTATGTAGCAAGCAAGGGGGAGGGGCGAGGAATGAACCTTGTTGAAAAAAAGAAATAAAGTGACTCGTAACTAACATGTAGAATCGACCTTCAAGTGGAACTATCATGACAGACAACCAAATAAAAACTAAAGGGCAAAGCAAGATTGACTGGATCAAAATCCAAATGAGGGTCAGATCGGGGAGGAAGGCCAGCATTTTTCATATTAATTTTAGCTTCAAATGCAGTGACCTGCAACAGGAAAGGCCTTATTGAAATAAATATGAAAAGTAGATTGCCTGGTACACAAAACTCATTATAACTGTAATGAAGAAGATACATAAGAATAATAATGGTTCATGCTTTTAAGATGTCAGGATTTTTTCGCCAAAATGGGCATAGAGAAGATCCGAAACTTTGCACATCGATGATCATCACTTGGTTAATAAACTCTCAGCATAGTGTGTATATACCAATAATGTAGAATTTCATAGAACTATACCTTCAAAATTATCAATTTGACAGAAGGGTCCACCTCATAAGCAAGAAAAAGCTCCAACAGTCGAGATACCTAGAATAGGAATAAACAAATTTAAGGAAACAATCAAACAATTGAAATATTATTAAAGCTATGGGATATTATCCGAGTCACGTGTTTACATCATACACAGCCATATTATATAATTTTCCTACACCCTGAAATAATATGACATGATAAAGAAGCACTAAATAAGACCCATTCATCCGAAGTGGCAGATGGGATGTCGCGGCAAGAATAAAGCTTCAGCTATCCCTGGCAATGCTGGAAAAATAATCACCTAAGCTAAACAGAAGTAGATCAGCTGACCAAACCAGAATAAAATAGGAAGTAGTTCAGTGCTTAGGTCGTAAGATTGATAAGGGAAGTTCAACACAATAGATGCTTGGCTTTACAGCAGAATATGCCGAAGATAGAGTCCAACAGTAATTAATGAATCATATAAGATTTGACTGATGCTAGAGAACAATTTTTCAGGCGATAAGTCTCAAGGGATTGGAAACAAGTTCCAATAGAGTGAGACCAAGGTATATGTTCCAAGGTGGCCAAGCGCATGTTTCCAATATGGCATAAACAGCAAGAAATTCGAAGGACACCTATCCTATCTGGGCCTCACATCCAGGATGATATTCTCCCAGGACACCATCCATAAAGCCACCCCAAAGGACATTTATTCAAGAAAGAGAGGTAAAGACAGTAATAAAAAGATCGCCTGGCTTTTTCTTTGTCTTGTCACTTCATCGAATTTCTCTCTCAAACAGCAAATTAACTTGATCACCTGAGATGAATTATCCGACTCCACCCATTCGAGATGCCAAAAGGCTCTGTCAGTGTAATAGATGAAGAAAGTATAGTTAGACATGATATGCACTCCAATATAATCATACTTTAAAAGGGGGGAAGGGGGGGGACAAAAACATCAGTACCATGTCTAAAGAGGTATAGTAAGAATTATTGAGCAGGTAAAATAAAGATGCAGGAAGAGTGAAATGTGACACCACGAGAACAGCCCAAAAAGATTCTATTCTTCAGAATGCTACAGACGAGAGATAGAGATTGACAATTCCTCAAAGCAAACCATACAGCTGATGAGCAACTTTGGTTCGAGGAGTACAGTGAAGATTGCCTCTCAATCACATAATTCATGGACTCGTGAGTATACAATAGAATCGAAATCTGACAGAGAAGAATTATATGTGTATCACTGGAACTAAACAAGCAGCCATTCCACAGTCCTTGAACACTAAACTTAAATTGCAAGGCCTAAGAAGTATTTGGATCAAATTTAAAATTGAAAACTGTAATGACAGTGCACTTATATGCCCCAATCAAGAATTTACCCCCAAATTGAGTCTTATGTCAGTAATATAGAACACCAACACCAACACAGAGAGAAAGGGCTGAAGAAACTAGTCCATGACTTGATGAGGTAGAACCCTTTAACAACTTAGTATGAAGACGTATCTTCTAGTGTCCCGGAGTGCTGCAGGTGATGCAGCTAATGGAGCTTTAATGCTCGCAAATGTCCCTGGAGACTGGAGTTACCATGTTAGTGTCTTAGATGGGGTTTTAGGCTTTCCATATCAACCATTATTAGCACAATAATCCTGACAGCCTTGCACCATACAATGCCAGCACACATGCTCATGGCACGGGAAAAATCAAAATTGGCATATAACTCAACAAGAACCTTAATTTAATCAAGATGATCAAACGTGAGAATGACAACACGACAACTTTATAAAAGGTCTTCATTCGAGTTCATAAAGCAGAACAAGCGAAAACAAGGACCAACTGAATTCCTACCATTGGAAAAGAAACAGCATTGAGTTGCTTAGGCCTGTTCAGTGTAAAGATTCTCGTAGAGTATTTCTCTTCCACCAAAACCTGCAAAGCCATTTATCTTTAGACTTTAATTCTTTATTTGTCATCAAGCATTTAACTGATTGTGTTTTTAGCTCATTAGAATAAAGGATAGTGCAGATAATCCCACGTAAAGAGGAACTCTAAACCCAAAGAAATCCTAAGAAGAGTACTATATTACCTTCCCAGCAACCAAATAGAAAGGTAGAATTAAACCCAAGTGGGCAAAAGTTGAAGTTACAAAGAACCGCGTATATATACCTGATCGGTTTGTCCAAAGCTAGAAGGAATTGAAGCCATGTACCTTCTTGCTTTGCTGCGCTTGAGAGACTGGCACCACGTGTAGATAAAAACAGAATGAAAAAGAGAACATTAAAAATTGAAGTCGTCGATGCTATGACAAAATTATTTTAGCTATTTTGCCAGGTATCACCAGACGGCCTTTCGGGAAATGTTTCATAAATAACCCAACTTAATAGAGTTAACTAAACTATCAATCACCAGCATGAGTTCGATTACTACTTGCTCATCCAAAAATAAATGATTATCGAATACTCGCATACTTTCAAAAAAGTTACCCATCCATCACCCGTTTCACTTTCGTCCATCCAACTAGACAAAAATCTCTACGTGACCACTAACACCATTAAAAATTGACAAGTGGATATTAATTAAAACGATTTCTTCCCAAAATGTGAATGAATCGTCATTTACTTTCTTCATTGTCTTCTCCCCAATCTTCTGTACGCTTTCTCCCCATCCCAAACTACCACATCCTTCCGGCCAAACACTGTGAACATAAGAGGCGGCACAATCGGCGCCGCAATCCCCGATCTTAGCATCGACTGAGATCGGCAACGAGTCTATAGAACTCGAAGTGCTTCCATTTTCCTCATCCACCTTGTACATCCGACACAATAAGCCACCACTGGAAAACTCTGATTCGTTGATGTCGACAACAGAACTATAGCTTCCACACCTCTCTTCACTCTGCTGATCAGAACCCTCCTCTGACGAAGCTCATTTCCTCCTCACCTCCCCAATATTCAACTCAGATTTTCCCCAATTTGCAATCCTTGAAGCTATATCAAGTGGGATTTGGCTTCCTCCTAATTTGCAATGTCATCGGCCTTTTTGTGTTTAGTGGGTTAGGCCATGGATCGAAATGCAACATATGTCATTTAGTTTATAGGATGTTGTTTCTAATTGGAATTGTAGGGAAAAAAAAGTACTAGATATGATGTTTTGAATGTGCAGGTTGTAGTTGTTGGTGTTGTGTATGCTGTTGGAGTCATGGAGTGATGCTGCTGGTGTTGTGTGCATCTGTTGATGGTTGTGGAATATTGAAGATGCAAGATATAAACCAGTTGGAGCACAAGTCAACAGGAACAAGGACAAGATGGATTCATAACAAGGCAACAACAATCATGATGATCTAGAAGTGAATTAGTTAGATAGTTTGTATTGATTTCGTTTGCAACTGTTTTCCATGTAAATTAATTAGAAAGTTTGTTAGGAAATGATTCCATTTTTCTATATATATATATAGTAGAAGCTCATTGTACAATACACAAGTTTTGGATGAATATATTTTCAGCTCATAATCAATTCTTCAATATCAGTCTTTTATCTTTCCGAATCTAACATAGAATCATCTGTTGCAAACCACATGTTTTGCAATGACAGGGTATAAATACAGAACTTTATGAACACCAGAACTTAAGGTAAAAAGCACTTGAAATTGTAGCTTGAAAAACATAATTGGCAATCATATGTACAGAAAAAAAAAAGATTGTGCTTCAAAATATAGCTAGCATCTTCATAACCTAAATTATATCTATCAAACAACATTAATGTACTAATGAGTTGCTAATTATTATTTTTTTCATTCTCGGCGGTGCATATGGAACTGATCCCCGAACAACCCTTTCGTTTTTTGTTATGATTGCCCTCTTCTTTGCTTTTTCTTGATTCTGTATTTCTTGCAAGTCTTCCACTAATGTTTGAAGGGGAGCTATCTCTGTTCCTGAAATATCTGGCTCACTTTGTGGAGGACCATAGTTGGCAAATTATGCAGCACCAGTTAAACCAATTCCAGGTGTTAGCAAGAATTGAAAATGAGATTGTGGTTCTACTCGTTGCACTTCAGAGATAAGCACCCTAGATGACCTCCTAGGCACTAGTTTGGCTGTAAAAAGGGTCAAACGAAATCAGTTATAACGTCTAAAAATTACATGTTGTCCAAATTTAGTAATTGTAGGATACTGTGGTAGATTTGATTACCTTTGTGGTTTCACTCCTAAAGTGAGTTGAACTTTCTTTATTTTTTGGATCTATATCCCCATAAGACCATTCCTATAACGAACGTATAAACGTAATAAATTACATTATATATTTTACTAGAAGTCAAAAAACACAATACAAACTCCATATGTAAACAAACCTCATGCGTTGCTTCTGCCTTTTCATGGTACCTCTTATTGTGTCCTGTTAAACCACATGCACTACAAGTGATTACCATAGTACCCCTTTTATTCAACTTTGCTTTAGACCCCGAATGAGATATGACATCTTCTTCATGTCTTCGTCTCTTCTTTTGTTTTCTTCCCTTTTTAGGAACATACCAATCATACAAATCTAGTGGTTTGATAGAGAGAGCATCAACTTGAGGCCATAATTTTGTCCCATTGATAGGGTATATAATATTCTCATAACAACTCATATATGTAGTCAATCTATGACACTCATGCACGTACCTCCACAGCTCATCCCTTCTGTCTATAATAGCAGCAACTGCATGAGTACAAGGAATCTCTGATAAATCTCATCTCCTACATACACAAGTCTTATTCTCAAGATCAACAACAAATTCCCCACTAGAGCATTGAACATAAGACTGTGCTCCTCCGAACCAGTCCACCTCACAGCCCTCGACTAACTCAACATTTTTCATAAGTTTTTGTTGCACTTTAGGACATAAATGCCCTATTACTCTTTTTGTTGGTCGTATCCTATTCATGAAGCTTATATGTAAATCAATCAACATTGTCAATATGGATTTCTCTCTATCTTCCAACAAAACATTGTTGAACACTTCGCATCAATTGTTCAAAAGTAGGGGTGTCCAAAAGTCATGAACCGGACCGAATCGAACCGAACCGAATCGAGCGGTTCTTCATAAGTTAAATACCCGAACGGGTATCCGAATCAAGAACTAACGGGTTTTGGTCGGGTCTCGGGTCTAGATCAAGAACCGATGAACCGAATAAGAANTCATTTTCTTTATGCAGGCAGGCTGCTTGAAGTAAATGAATTTACTTTATGTAGTTCTGTTGTATTATTAATATCTACTTTTTGATATTTGTATGCATTGAATTAATCTTATTGGGCGGCTAGTTATTTATATATTTTTTAATTGGATTACGTTAATTTGTAAAAGTTACGAATGAAATGTCATTAGTTTTATTTATGTAGTGTTGCTGTAAATATTAAAAAATTTAATTATGGTACGGAACCGATCAGAATCGAACCCGAACGGTTCCATAATTATATTTGGACCCGACGGTTCTATTTATTAAATACCCGAAAGTTTTGAGTCGGTTCGATTCTCTTCAAAATCGAATCGAACCGACCCACGGACAGCCCTATTCAAAAGTATGTCACTATTTACCTTTGTCAAAAAATAAACCTTGCTCCATTCACTTGGATGCCTTTTCTTTAACCAATTAAACGCCGCGGGACTTTCCTTCTCAATCTCGCCCCTCCAAAACAACCAATCAGGCACTGTTGTCGACTTTGCAGCCTTCCATAAGTATTCCTTCAGTACCAGACTCTTAAAATCATTTTTGAAGAAATTAGTGTACCAGTGTCTAATACAAAACCGATGTTCCGCCTCAGGGTACAAATCATCTATCACATTCTGTAAACCATTTTGCCTATCTGTCATAAAGGTTCATCGATTGCTATTCACAATCTTCAAATCTTCACCTAAATGTTGCATAAACCACCTCCAAGTATTAGCATTCTCCCTCTCCACTACAGCATATGCTACTGGATAAATACAATCATTAGCATCTAACCTCATTGCCACAAGCATCTGCCCTCCAAATGACCCTTTCAAGAAACACCCATTCAACCCCAGAAGTTGCATGTAACCCACTAAAAACCCTATCTTGCAAGCTTCTAAGCAAATATGAACACCTCGAAACTTTGAAGCATGCATAGCAACAATGCATGTAAACTCGGGATTGGTTCTCAAAATTTTAGCAGCAAAGGACCTAAGCCATCCAAACTGGTGCTCGTCAGATCCTTGTATCATTACTCTCACATAGCTTATACTTCTCCATACTGTAACCTTATTAATTGTTAATTTCAGATCATCCTTTACAGCCTTTATAATAAGCTTAGACCTCCAATTAGGGTCAACTTTGAAGGTATCTAAATACTTCTCCGCTATGTATTTGGCAGTGCAATGTCTATTTGTTTTGTCCCTAACATAGGTATGCTAAGAATTTTCAGATTTTCCTTTCTTCTTATTCCATGAAGCCCAAATCCTCCATGTACAACCTAATTTGCATATGACTTGGGCTTTAAACTCATCATTAGGCCTGAATTTAAAATTGTATCTAGTAGCTACGCCGTGATTCCTTACAACTTACCTAAACTCAATATTTTTGAACTCCTTTCCCACCTCTAACTGCTGATTGAACTTCTCCTTCTCGGCATCATAGACGGAGAAATGAAAAGTATTTTCTTCACTAGAAGAATAGTCGTTGTGCAACTTCTCCTCACTTGGACAATAAGCGTCTTCCGAATCTGAATCTTCGTCCCCAGCATTCAAAAGATCGAAGGTATGATCTGCATTTAATCCCACCAAAATCCATTCATTTTCATTCTTATCATAACGAAAATCATCATCGTTAACATCGTCTACTGAGTCAGTGAATTTGTATTCCTCAGCTACCACTTTATCTTCTTCAACTATATTATCTGCAGATAAACAAGTAAACGAAGTGGTCAGCACACGTTGTATATCCACACGAAATGCAGACATTCATAAAGCTAAAGTCCTAGATACATTCCTAAAAATGATGATGTAGTCCTTAAAATGTCCACTACAAACGAATCCCAAATCATCCATTTATACTCGAGAGCTTGTGCAGTACCTAAAGTCCTACTGTAAAAAATAACCTAACTAAAATGGACGATAAACTTATATAGTAGGCTAAGATTCAAAAGAAAAAAAAAGTGTCAAAAAAATACAATAAAACACGTGGTCCCTCTTCTAAGACTATGAAATAACGTGGACAACAACAAACAACCGACCAATTCATCGATTACTGATATAAACAAAATTGCTATGGCACAATATTATACGCTTCATCAAAAAGATTTTAAAAAAACTTGCTTACGGTCCATCTTCTACTTCCACCAACGATGTTTCTTCATCAACATTATAGTTACCTACCATTTCAGGACATTATGGGTCACTCATGTTCCTCATTATCAAGACACAAGCATGGCACTGGATCAATTTGATTTTTTTTTATTTTTTTGAATCTAAGGTTCCTATAAATCTGATGGGTTTTCAATTTGGGGATGGATTTGGAACAATTTCGCTTGAGGATTCAACTGATGACAATCTTCCCAGATGCAATGTGTTGAAACGAGCTTTGTTTGGGGAAAAAGCGTACAGAGGATTGGGGAGAAGACAGTAAAGAAAGTAAATGACAATTCATTCAAATTTTGGGAAGAAATCTTTTAATTAATATCCACTTGTTAATTTTTAACGGTGTTAGTGGCCACATAAAGATTTTTGCCACGTTGGATGGACGAAAATGAAATGGGTGATGGATTGTGAATTTTTTTCGAAACTGGGTGAGCATTCGGTAACCATTTATTTCTGAATGAGCAAGTAGAAACCGAACCCAAATGTTGGTGATTGATGATTTAATTAACTCTAATTACTAATTGAATTTCAAATTGTTTCACGGTGTTCAATGAACTTTTGTTGTTTGTACTCTAAACATCAAAAATTTGTTACCTTATTTGTTGATATGAATGACGAATATTGAGCTTGGTAAATCACGTCAATTAAATACATGTCAAATCACAGAGCGAATCCTTGTTAGCATAAAATATGATGGTCAAGATGCAAAAGAATGCATACATCCTATTGCATACGTCATTTTTGAAACATTTCACTCTATGATCACTATTGTACGGTATGAAATAATAGATTTGTCCCTTCAATTTCAAACATGCATTAAAGGTAAATAGTATTAGATTAAGAAATATAACAAGATTTTTATTTTTATTTTATTCTTTAGAAATGTCAATCACTCTATATTGGTATGGATTAAAATCTAAATTATAATTTAAGTTAAAGTTAATAATTAAGTTTAAATATATATTTTATGAAACCCATTACTTTTCAACAATACATTTTATCATTTTTTTTTTCAAAATCTACTAAAAATTTAATTTTAGCTCCCATCTAACCGGGGGATATATCATTTCACCAAATATATCAATATTGTGTAATTGTAAACAAATGAACAGTGAGATCAAGCATCTCTCGATGAGAATATTTGACGTGATAAATTATATATTTTTCGTTAAGAATAATTCAATACATAACAACTTAACTATTATGCCTCCATTTGAAAAGAATTTATAAAGAGGTTTAATTTATAAATGAGTAGTGAATAAGTGCATATTATTTATTGTTTCATTAAAATATATGTTAAAGACGAATGAGTCATTCCAAAATTATCCAAATGGGGTCTATATTAATAAAAACGAATGACTATGAAAGAATATGTATTCGCTAATGGATATTTTTTTTTCCAAGTATTAGTTTCCTTGTATTTTATTTTCTTTTACCATACCTCGATTTTAGGAACAATTAAAGTATATTTGATTGCGAGTATGAAATTTATATGGAAAGAAAATAAATTTTAGGTAATTCAATTGTCTAGAAACTATTTGTATAAAAATTATTAATTAAATGTATTTGATTGATTTAGTTTTCAACTTAAAAAATATTATACATGTCTATTTTTTATTGATAGGTAGATGCGAGAGAAGAGATGGATAAGAACTAGTGAATTACTTAGAAAATAAAAATCAATTTCTAAAAAAAAATATATTTTTCTTGTTTTCAAATAAATACTGTTGCGTGATCAAAAGTAGGAAAATATTTTTCGTAAAAAAAAAATTGTCAATCAAACAGTACAAAAGTATGAAATTATGTGGAAAAAATACATTTTTCATGAAAAATATTGACAATCAAATGCACATTTATAGAATAAATTTACTGCAATTGTGTGTAATTACAATCATATTACAGTGTGAATAAAGAAGGCTAAACATTTCAAATTATTTACTAATTCAATTATCCATATTTAAAACCTCATATATCTTCATAATTTAAGATATTTAAAATAAATTTAACTATAAAATATTAAATGCAAAAGTATACAACGAAAAATGCATACACATAGTAGAGATGATATAATTGTAAAAGATTTTATTAAGCAGACAAAGAAAATCGATATCACAATATCTGATATCTTGATATTGTTTGATTTAGATAAAAGTTATTTTTTAAATAAATTTTAATAAAATTTGATGAATGTGGGGTTGAAAATTATTAACTTTGATTTAAAGAAAAAATAATAAAAGGGAAAATAAGGCAGCAATTGCCAAGTGCAGACGGACGTAAAGCAAAGCGCCTTAAGCCAAATGACACGCCGGTGCCCTTCAATTTGTCACAGTTTCCTTAAGAACATCAATACTAATTTGCTAATGTCTGAAGATTCCAAAGTTGGTTCATATAAAGAGTGTCGTTTCGAGTGAGAGAGAGAGAGAGGAGAAATGGAACCATTGGTGGTTTTGGGTGGAAAAGATTACTTGGCATGCTGCGGAAGCGTCAAATTTGCTGAGGAGATGGTTTTAGCAGGACCATTCTCCGATTATCAACAGGCTGTTACTGCTGCGAGAGATATCTGGTTCAACAAAGTATGTCCCGCTCTCTCTATTTGCACAGATGTTTGTGTGTATGTTTGGGTTTTCTTATTGGGTGAATAAATTTGTTTTCAGGTGGATGTGAATGGGTGGTTGGAAGCCTTTGCTGCTCATCCACCGATAGGTGAAAACCCTTCTATGACCCATAAAAGTCCAACCAGTGCCCAGTTCAGTTTTTTGTCCCTCCCTTTCTCTTTGATTTTCTTTTTATTTAACTTTGTTCCAAGGTGGCAAAGTACGAAGAAAGGTTTTGATTTCAACACTTCCAAGTTGATGATCCGATCTCACATGATTTTTTGTTTTATCAATGAGTTTTGCAGTGATTTGAACTTATGAGATGGCTATGAGAATTCTTGCTCTTCTCTAATGAATTATTAGAATAAAAATCTGAACTTTGTACTTCTTAAATCTGACTGGAATTTATTTCTTGGAAGAAGAAAAAATTCACTTTCTTTCTTTTTTAGTATTCTTTGCTGTGATCATCCTAATTCAGCCAAGCAACTGAGGTAGATAATTAAGAAGATGGGATATTGGGCACCTTTTTGTTTTGTTTTATTTGTTTCTGTTTTGAAACCGGGAAGGGGGCAGGGAGGTTGAAGGAAAGGATGGCTGTTCTCAACTACAATGGATCCAAAAAGTGATGCCTAATGCTTTTTAACACACATCACGATAGAGTGGTCCGCAATGCACTTCACAAAACAACAATAAAAAGTCTGATTTCTAATTTGGCTTGACTACATGAACTCTTTTTTTTTTTTCAACTTTAGTTGATTATAGATGCATGTACTAAAACGAAATCAACGTATCCTGCTACCATATCATGCCATGTTAATTTTGATTTTCCCTTCCGACTTTCCATTTTTGTATTGTGATGGTGGCTCAAGTTGTAAATGACAGCTTATTTTTGTTTACACAAGAAATATTGCAACTATTTATATAACCCTTTCTTTAATTTATACTTAATTAGTGACCTTCACTAGTTAGTGTATATTATCGTTTCTTATTTTATTCATTATAGTGCGGCCACCTGCATCTTACCTTTCTCATTCATGTATCAGCATTTTGTTTTTTAACGGTTTACACGCAATGCCATACAATATAGCTGGCTTAGAAGCCATTTCGTAAAAAAATGTCCTTTAACTTGGTAGACCTCTGTAGTTCTCCATTCTATCCAGTGTACTTTAATATTGTGCCTTATGCTTTCTTCAACTGTTTATGGAATCTATGATGAAAATTCATCTACTTCAAAGTTAACAAAGAAGAAAATTCATTTAACTTGTGCAAAACCAATAATTTCTTGTCAGGGTGAGGATAGAAAATAGCCTTGATACATCTTAGTACTCCCCTCCCCCATATGGTTTGAGTTTAACATAATATTCAAGTTAACAAAGCTTTATCCTTAATTATTTGGAGTTGGCATAGTTTATCATAATACAAAACTCACTCTTCTCTTGTTTGTAGTCTCTTTCATGGAACAATAGTAAATATCAAATTAAAGAAAATGAAAAATGAGGACGAGAAATCTGTTGTACTATATTTTTTTATTTTTTAAGTATGACAGTATGCTATTTATTCACCATTAGCACTCTAGCTACAGGCAACTGCATCATGAGATTGGAAGTAATAACTAATAAATCTCATGCTACAGGTGGAGCAAGGGAGAGCAGTCTACAGCTTTAGCTACTGCCACTGACGCAACCTTACAGGTAATGGCAGCTATATTAGGCATAAGGACCACAGAATTTTTGAAGCTGAATTTGAAGAGCTACTGACTTGGTTCTAGGCCTAAAATGTTTGTATTACATGATACTCCCTCTTCTACAAATGAAGATGTTCGATTTGCTGGCCACTAGCCGGTGGTGCTTACATTGATGTTCTGCTAATTTCTGGGCGATTCACTGCTATGCACAAAAAATGATGAAAATTCTACTTAATGCATATGTTATCTTCTTTTATGAGTTGTGCATGCAGAAATTTCTTTTCTTTCTTTGTGAGGTTGGAGGTTTTGGGGAACGGTTATATAACACTTCGAGAGTGTGTCTTCTGGCTTCGGTGAAGTTGTTGATCCCTTTTTATTTTCTAGGAGCTACAAGAGTGGAGTGTTCGCTATAGGCGGAAGTTTGGATTTATCTTTCTGGTATTTGCATCTGGGTGGAGTACCCCAGAGATACTTGCTGAGATGAAGGTAATTTTATCATTTCGTAATGCTTTTTTATTAGTAGGTTACTTTTGAGTTGCTTTTTACTTTTTAGACCTTCCAGTAGACATACGAATAAACCGTATAGAGTGGTGAAAAAAGATTTACGTAACTGACCCTAAATTTATAATAAGGCTTAGGCCCGTTTGGCATGGTTTTGGAAAAAGCCGAAAAAAATAAAAATTTTCGTGATTTCTATCCACTTAGAAATTGTAAAGTTGGATTATGTAGTTTTTTCCCCAGATGCGCCATCAGTATTTTGATCCCTTCCGTAAAGAAAGGGGGATACCTGCTTTTGGACCCGTTTGACTATCTTATGAAATTGCTTCTTTTAGGTAGAAGAGTTTTTAGAGAAAGCTGGTCTAATGTGTTTTCTTCTCAAAGCACTTTCGGAATAGAAAGCTCTTTTAAAAATTAGTTTACAAACAAAAATTAAGGTAACTTCCTTCAAAAACTCTTTTATAAGAAACAAAAGTCATACCAAACAGGCCTAAGTATGTTTTGTTGTTGAGTAGAGCTTTTCTACATAAACAAACAGTGTTGCAATTTAATTTTTTATTATGAAATCTTTTAAGCTCTTTTCTCTATCTCCTAGCTCCCACTGTTTATGCCTTCCCAATATCCTTTATACCTAGGTATGTAGCTAGGAAAATTTAAATGTTATTATGGATGGAAAGGGTTTTCTGATTCCCAGTTGTTGTGTTTACTACAAACTCTTTAATGTTGTTCGACAGTGAAGGATGATCTCACTTGACAATTTGGTAAAACTTTAATCGAAAATTACAAAATGACAGGATCAATATAATTTAGCGTGTTATTAACTACTGATCATGTTACTGCCTATACCTTTGGCAACTCTTTGGTGCTGTACTTTCTTTTACCCTCGAAGCAAATTGACGGGATAATAGGTAACCTTTCTTTTGTCTCCATTCTTGCAGGGACGTTACTATAACAGGCCTATTGTTGAGCTTGAGCTTGCAGCTCAGGTGCAAATGAAAATAACTGAATTTCGTCTTTCCAAGCTATTTACTGTTAATTCTGCTGCTGCTTCCCAAATCCAAACTCAGTATAGTGTAGATGTGAAGAAAGCTGGAGGTGATTTTGCATCAGATTGGCTTTTCCCATTTTTTATATTCACTTTCTGTTGGTCCATGTTGTTTCTAGTCTTTTGTCATGTTTTCCAGTTCTCCAACAATGATTTGGACACCATAGAACTAGAAGTTGCTTTCTGACAGTGGTTCAACTTTGAAGAGATTTTGCGTTTTGCAAGTCACCTCATATGCTTGTCGCCAGTGCTACTGACTGCTTTAGAAAAGTTTTAAATATCTGAAAAATCTTTTTGCACAACTGCAAAAATGAGCGGTATTAGTTAATGTTTTTCTCTCCGCTGGATCGCATTGGTTTATTCTTTCCATTTAATTTTTTCTGGAGTTGAAACTAAAGAAATTGAAACTACACATACATGGTAGGGGAAAAAACAAAGAAAAAGAAAGACACAAATAATGGAAGCAAATCAAATGTAAACCTCACTGCATTCATGGCACAAATTACCCATATTAATCATCTTATAATGATACAGGATTATTTTATTTCTGCTTATGCTACATCTACTATAGATGGAATTTTTTGTTCTTGCTAGTTATCTTCTCTTTAGTCGACCATTTGAGGTGAACTGTGCTAATTGAGATTTCTACTCTCTCGCATCATTGTTAGAAGATCGGGTGGACATTATTGTAGCACATTTGACAGCTGCAAACGATGCTTCTGTGGTGAAACCATCTCAAAATTTTACTAGGACTCGTCCCCCTATCACAACGCACGTACTGGATGTAGCTTGTGGGTCTCCGGCTACTCGAATCGAAGTACATTTGGAGATGTGGAAGCACAATCAAAGGCGACCATTGCTTGGTGAGGCAGATTCAGGTGGCTGGACGCCCCTGGGTTCTTCGGCTACAGATAAAGATGGACGAAGTGGTCAGTTGATAAATATGGTCGATGTTTTGAGTCCTGGGATATATCGGATTAGTCTCAACACTGGAAGATATAATCCCGAAGGATATTTTCCATGTCTCTATTGTATTCGAAGTCAGGGAGTCGCAGAAACTGGAACATTTTCATGTTCCTCTTCTGCTTTCGCCATTTTCATTCTCCACTTATTGTGGGAGCTAGCTTGTTTCAACCTGCAAATAAATCTTGAATGCAAAAACTTGATGTTTATTGATACAACTTTGCATTTTATCAACCTGCATATATACTTCGATGATGTCCATAATATTCCTACAGTTTGTATACTTTGTGTGAAAATGTGGATAGTTACAATTGCGTGGATAAAAACTAATGTTCATTAATTTTTGCCCATCTGCTTAATATTTATCGACATGACGATAGCCAACAAGGCTATATGTAACAAACAAATTTGTAAATGACGATTTCAAGAAATAGGGTGGTAGAGATGCAACCATCGACGATGTTGGTTTTAGCCGGACCCTTCTCAGATTATTAGCAAGCTGTTGATGCTGCGAGACATATTTGGTTCAACGAAGTTTAGACCACTCTATTTAGCGAACTTTCAATAATGTGCCTTAAACTTAAATTTCTTGATAATAATCGAAACTAAATACCCAGTGAAATTGCTGGTAAACACATTTCAATTGTAAACATTATTCCTATTATTGAAAATGAAATTATTTGGATTTAGTTTTTAACTCTACTTAATTCGAAATTGATAACTTTGAATTCATCTAAAACAAGTATCAACTACTCATAACATAGTACAAATTATTTCAAAAGGAAAAGGACATGACACATAATCTCAGTATCTTAGGATGTAATGGAACTATTTTTTCAATAGGAAATCCTACTACTATTCCATGTAGATTTCACATTGTCACCACTTTATCTTACTTATCTTTAATATGTTGGAAAAAAATTGAATGTGAAATTGTAACAATAAATTCATAGATTTCAATTCTCTAGTTAATTTGTATTTGAATTGATGATCACAAAGCCTTAATGAGTATTGTAACATAATTTGATGTTAACACAAAATTAATTATATTGAAACACCCCTCGTCCTAGTACTATGTGAAGTGTTCTCCTCCTTATTCTACACGTCAAACTTTGAACACTACAAGAATGTGCGCTATCACCAATGGAATTTTACCAACGTCCAATTTTCCGTCGGCGATACGGACGGATTTCCAATAGATTTCCAACGGATTTCCCTTATTATTTATTTATATAAAAAAGGAAAGATTTACCAACGAAATTAGAAACCTTATAAGTCGTGGGTGATTTTTCGTTGGTAATCCGTTGGTGAAATGAATAAAAATAATTCTAAAATAAAAATTAATATTAGTAACGATTTTATCAACAGCCTTCTTACGTCTTACTAAAAAATAAATTAATAAATTATAAAGTACCAACGAAATCAGTGACTCCCGACATTCCGTTAAGGATTCCAATGGTAAATCGTTGGTCCGTTAGTAAAACCGTTAGAAAAAAACCAAAATCCAAATTAATCTTATTATGACTTCTTAAAACCCAGATCTCCGTACTTTCTCAATCCACCGCATCACTTCTCAATCCATATCGCTGGTCATTGAAATCCTTTCTACAAGCCAGATCAATGTTGCTTCTATAACAGACACCCAGATCTCCATACTTCATAGATCGTCCAATTCTCCATACCTGTTGAATTGAGCGCTTCATCCAGTAACAGACCAAGAATCACTATATCTTCTATGATAGATACCCAAATCTCCATACTTCATAGGTATGCATTATGTAAAAATCTAA